CATATTTTAATTACAGTTTAACAAGTGACAATAAATAGTGTTTTTTCTTAAAGCCAGCAAACAAAAATAATTTACTATTTATATATATATAACAAAAACAGCAATTTTATTTTATTATATCATTTAACAAGTTCAGAATAAGTACATGTACCTAATAACCGTAGAAAAAGTCTGTATCCTCCTAAATTATGAAATTGACTATATGCTTATAAGTCACGTTTTTTTATTGAGACTACTTTTAGTTGTGTTGCTGCAATCACACCATGGAGTTACAGTTCTGTTACACTTCAATTCAATATTTACAACAGTTACTGGGTAATCATCTAGTGTTAACTTATGGACATTAGTAATTTTATATTTCACATCATGTAAACCAGTTTGTCTATCTCTCCTTCTTGTGACATTTCGTTGATTGTAGCACTTAATGGTATCTCTTTTCCTATAAGTTTTGTTATGCGTATGTCTACAAAACAGAATATTTTTCATTGCAAGCTGTTTCTAAATTTTATTAAATAAAAATAGAAAATCAAAAAATTTCTCCACTAGGATCTGACAGATGAGTTCAAATAGCAATCTAACAGTCAATATTGGTAATATAATACTTGCAACTTTGTAATGCGACATAAACAGGGCAAAGAGGTAGAGATATTAAAAGTTATGTAACCAAACTCATCAATTTAATTAAGAAATCTACTTTAAAAACTGAATTTTTACGACAGCTGGGTATAATTTTTTCATTAAACATGTTTATTAAAGTGAGAATATTATATATAAAAGAAATTATGAGTGCTGACAGCACAGGGCGAAGTAGTATTACGTAGTTAGTATCAGCAATTTCTTATGCTAAAATGTATCATGTGTTGCATACCTATTTAGAAGCAATTCCTTTAAATTTATTTTTTCAAACAATTTTTAAGACAAAGAAAGTGATTAAACAAATTGCTCACGAAAGTGAATTTCGACCACTCGAAGCAATGGTGTTAAGAGTTTCCAGCTCACAGTGACTGATGGCGGGGTAGAACTTGTATATATAAAAAAAAGTTTCTTATACCTACTATGTTCTGCAAAGGGAGTGTGCAATTTCCTTACAATATCTTACTTTGTGGCAGCAGTTTTAAAATTACTAAAAGTATTATACTTGAATGACCCCGAGGTCAACAAGGTTTGTAATAAAAGTATAATGTACAGTTTAAAAATATTTCAAATACCTAAAGGTATTACTTGTCCCGGTAGTAATATTAACAGGTCTTGTAACGTTCAAATTTGCATCCTTTAGTCTTACAAAAAATTCATCATCTTCTAAACCCCATCCCCAGTATTTGTTTGACATACCATTTACTAACTTGAATTGTTCTCTGTAAATAAAAACAATGATAATAAAACCAGTACTTAAAAACACTCCTTAGTAGTGATGCAATAGTTGTGGCTTTTATGATTACGGTTATTTAAAACAAATTGAAAAATAAACATTCTTCAAAATAAGGTTCAGTAATCTTTAAATAATAAATTATGTAAAACAAAAATAGAAATAAAATATAAAATAATGAGTAACATCAAAATTAAATGCAATAAGTGTATACTAAAATAATTAAAAAGTTAAAGGTTGATATTCAACATTTACAATAGTCAATCTTCTGTTTAGAAAACATAATATTTGTAAATTCGGCGGACTTCTTTTGGTGTTTGCAGAAGGAACCATATATCAGAAACCGTGAATTAACCATAACTGTAACTGCTACAACACTACTACTCACCTATTAACTAATAAAATTCCCCCTATAAAATTGTCATAGTGATACCTTGGGTGTAAATTGGGGGCTGAAACATGAAAGGGTTGAGTTGCTGGATAGGCATAACTTAGATTTGTATTTTTTGGCAGCAAGTCAACATCATGCATTGCTATATAGTCATAGTCTCCCATAGTATATAAGTAGCCCACGTTAATAAGTGAAGCTCTGTTAAATCTATAATTATCTACTTGATTTAAAATAAAAATACTGTATTGAATTCCTTGAGCATTTAAAAAATTTGTCATGTATGGCACAAATGTTAACAGCTCGTCAAATCTGTCTCTAAATGGAACTAATACTGCTAAATTATGGGATAAAAGCTTCCTATTTTTTAATTTTGGATAAGAATTGGGACAAAATGAGGTTTGTTGGTTTACACAAGCACAATTCTCTGAAACAAAAACATAAATGGCATAATTTTTATAGAAGTATATTCCAACACTTACCACTCGTGAGAACAATAAATGTTAACAACACAGTAACTAAAAACATCACAATAATTACGAATGATAAAAACTTTGTAAACGATAAAACGCACTTTCTACCACTATAAGTAATCATTTTACTTTGTTTTACTCTAACCTCAAATAGGTTGTTTTCGCCCTTATGTACTACAACCTATTAATTTATTATATACATTGATTGGAGCTTTTGATAAGAATCATAGCTTTATTAATTGCTGATTTAGTCCATGTAATTTATCCATTGTCTTTTGCGATTCATTATCAGCTGCCTGCACTCACTTCTCGGCACATAACAGGACAGAGATAATGTATAAGAGCATAGATAATTATAAGAGCATAGCTGTAGATAAGAGCTATAGACAAGGATAAGAGTATGAATCCATGGATTAGCATGATCATCTGACAATCATAGGAACATGCTAAGAGTCATAGATTGTAAAGCATATTCATATAGACCATAGATTAATACTAAAATGAGCATAGGCATATAATAATGGACATGCCTTAGACGTATGTCATTGTAATAATTTCTTGGTTCGAAAAGAATGAGGGAGATGGCGCAGGGTTTCGGATTAGTGCTATCTCTTTTCTGACACGGTTACACACTATTGTGAGAGAGATGGATATTGTCCGAAACTTCGTTCCATCTCTTTCTTTTGTTGTACCACAATTCTGACCGCTAAGGCATGTCCATTAGTAAACGTCGATGTTAACATCGTTCCATCTCTTTCTTTTGTTGTACCACAATTCTGACCGCTAAGGCATGTCCATTAGTAAACGTCGATGCTATTAGTAAACGTCGATGGACTTTACAACGAGTAATCATAGATAACAGAAAGAGCAAATTTATGCAACACACATTTTTGATGAGTATGTAGAATGGGTACATTGGGTATTTTCTTGCCGATTTAGATGGGATTTTCACCAAATTTAGAAATGGTAGTTCTGAAAACATATTGGTTGAGCTACAGATGGCGTTTACTGCGCCATTTGTAGTATTTTCTATATTGGTTGAGGTTTATATTTGCTAAATATAAATTTATGTAATCTTAAGGTGTACCTAAAAGGTTCTCAACACTTCACTTCAGAGTAATTTTATTAAAAACGTTTATGCATGCTGCAAAGCGTTTCCAAATTTTCGTTAAATATTTAGAGCACCCATAAGGTATTTGCAATAGGCCATGGGCAGATTGTATCATAATTATAATCATACAGGATTGGATGTTAATTACACACTACCCATCAATCTTTATTTGGAATGAAGGATATCGTGAGAACACCAGATTATCGCTTAGTCGAAATAGGCTACAATAAATTGATTAACGAAAAGGAGTGCTTCATCAAACTGAATATTAGTTAAATTGTTGCAATACCAATAACTAAAAATATTATTATGATTATATAACACACATTACGAGCATTCAAAACAATGAAGCTATCGTTTATTTCTATTCATTAAGTTAAATTAAATTATCACAATGAATAAATTGTTACAAGTATGTCTGCTGTGGGAGATCATTAACGCGGTATCTTTTCGCAGCTTTAATGCTGATAGCCGCAGAACCATAAATCATTTGGCGAAAAAGACGTTCGATTAAAGGAAATTACATACACATACACCTAAACAAGGCTGAGACAAAAGAAATTTACGGAAGGTCCTGGAATTAATCGAGAATATTTTACCTGTATAAATTGTCGTTAAAATTCTGTAGAAGATAGTCGATAAAAGACAAGTGTTTTAAATGCCAAACTCTACAGACCATGTGTTTGCAACCCTTGCCTTGGACTTATGTCTCTAATAGTCCATTTCCTTCCGAGGTGTGTATTCTACTTATTGACACATTCACTTCTCGTTTTGCACTTGTTTGGGCGGGAATTTAAATATGTTGGATGTGACGTACACACGATTGGGCTAGATTTTTACTAGCATGTGTGCGTCAAAATCATGAGGTACACGCACAAAAATTAATTTTATTTCCGTACGCAGTTCTTTCGTTCTCTCTCAAAAGGAAGGAAAATCGATCTTTCAGCGATGATATTATAAAAAACATTTAAACATTTTGCTTCCTTTGAAATTATTATATTAAAGGGAAAATGTTAATTGCAAATCGCCGATTTAAGAGAAAATAGTGAAAGTAAAATATTAAAGAATACAAACCTGAACCAAATTCATCCATTAGATTTAATGCAGTCGTGTTTGTAGGACTATGTAAACTAAGTGAACTGAACCCTGAAAGGTCGCCAAGAAGATCAGCATTGGATGATGAGTTTTGAGGATTTTGAACATTCGACAAAAGACCCGTCTGTTGTAAATGGTTGTTTGAATGAACAAAATTTGGCAGAGAGGCAGGTTGCACGGAACTAATTCCTGGTTGTGTCAATCCAGACGGTTGAATTACACCCCCTATTGATTGAGTAACACCCCCTATTGATTGAGTAACTCCAACAGGAGGGGGAATGAAACCAGTTGGATGTTGTACAAGACCTGGTTGTGGTTGATTTAAACTGATAGGTGTTTGAGTAAAGCCAGTAGCAGGGAGACCCGTCGTAGCGCTTTGTAAAAGATTCTGGTTATTAGGTGTTTGAGCACTATTTTGTGTGGTAAAAGAAGAAAAATCTGCAAAGTCGTCATTATTTTGTTTAATGGTTGTGTTCGATCCAAAAACTGATTCAAAATCTCCAAACTCAATCGATTTATTATTGGAATTTTCCTCTGCACGAGGATCAAAATCATCATTAAGAAGATTACTGCCTGCAATGTTTGTGCTAACTTTCTGACTTTCTTCTCTAGCAAAATCAGCTGCTGCTCCCAAGTCTACCTTTTTGATCGGTTTTGCAGTTTTTGTGGGGGTCTTCACAGCAGCAGGATTAATATTTATATTAACCCTTTTGTCTGGTGAAGTGGGACTTCCAATACTCTCAGTATCTTTATATTTACGATAATTCTGATTAGTTTCTGTATCACTATCTTCCCTCTCTGCCTCATAATCATCATCATAAGAACGATCTTTATACCGATATGTGCTGTTACCATTGCTCCAATCTCTATCCCGATCTCTTTCGCTGTATTCTTTGTTGTATGCTCTGTCATCCCATCTGTCACCTGCAATATTTTTAAAATGATAAGTTGAATTACATTTACTTGAATAATGCAATAGTTATCTAAAAGCACTGACTAATCAGCTACACTTAATAAACAATTAATTCTTTTAGAACAATAGAAATTCCAAAAACAATGTTTGAATTTAAAATTTCTATACAAGTAATAGTATGAACATTCATTAATTACTATAATAAAATGTGCGTTACAGTTAAGTCTAGTTGAATTTAATCAAATGATATATAACTAGGTATGACTTACTAAATTTCATGCCCATTGTGTCCGAGCTCATTCCAATAAACTTATCTTTGTTTTTCTTAGCTTTTTTGCGTTCTTCTCTTAATTTGTCATCATCTTGTATGAAATCAATCAATTCTCGAACTTTGTGGCGAATATTAATACCTTGATCTTTTCCCAAATCATCAATAGATGTATAATTTTCTAAAGATCTTAAGTCATAAATATGCTCTCTAGCTGAAGTAACTACCCTTTCAGAACCATTTTTAATTAGATAGTTCAGTAATAATAAAGCCTACAATAATGATACACATTAGTTTTATTGCTTGAGGTTTTAGAAAATTAATATTTACCTTGTATGACCTTCTCCAATGTTGCTTACTATCTTGTAACATTCTTTTCCATAGCATCGACATAACTTCTGGAAAATGTTCGTAAGTAAAGGTAGCGTGTGCAAGTTCTTGCATAATTTGACCAGTAGGGCCCCAAGGTTCATCATTTGTCGCCTCTCGTACTTTCGCTTCTATTTCAGTATAGTTCATAACAACATTTGTTCTAAAATAAAATTTTCACTGCATTTATATCCTAGGATTGAACTACTTATGATGTTAAGTAGAAAAAGAAACAAAAACATGAATTCGAAAGTCTAATCTGACATCTGGCAAAGTCTATATCAATGCCAGATTTTTACTTACACTTTATCAGCAATTTCACGTACTTTCCACATGCTAAATAAGTTTTCCATTTCGACTAAATTATAGTATTACAGTCAGTTGATGAAAAAGTAAAAATCAAAATTGACAAATTAAAAATTTAACTTCGAAATTTCAACGCTGACTTGGCTACGGAAAACCATTAGCCATTAGTACTCCATAGATAAGTTCATAAAGTTACTACTCCACAGAAATAGATAAAAGATAGGAATACAGGGTGTAACAAAAATGAGTGCAGAGTTTTTAGAGGATGTAAACTAATTGAAAATGCTTAACTAAGTTTTTCTTAATATGATTTATAAAATAAACTCCAGGAACTTAAACGATTAAAAATCTTTTGTGAATTTGAATATGTAAAGGAAATGTTTGTGAAATCTTATTTTTCGAGGAAAAACGATTAATAAATCTACCGTTTTTATTTTCACAAAAAGATCGATTGTGATTAAACTAAAGTTCATTGAAAAATTGCATTTATTTTCCATTTTTCGTTACAGAAGACGGTGGTGTACATTGGGTCTACAGCCACCACAATGAAAAACGTATCACAACCAAGCCTATAACCACCACATGACTACCACAGACTAATTGCCCATAGACAAGATCTAATATGGAGCCAATTTTCCTACAATTACCCTATAAAATAAATAAAAAATTAGCAATGTCTAAATGAAAAATCTTCAGGTAAAATTAGAGTGGTAAAAATATAATAAACGGTTTTTTAATATATTTTATTATTTCAGTGAACTTTGCAGTTAACCTATGCAGAAAAAAAATGCATTCCACAAAAGTGGTTTTATTAGCCTGTGGTAGTTTTAACCCCCCTACAAACATGCATCTACGAATGTTTGGTTTGTGGTTTTTCTTACGTTATGCTGTTTTTATTTTAAAATTACCTTGCAGAGATTGCCCGTGACCACTTGCATCGTTTAGGAAATTATGTAGTAATAGGTGGTTTAATATCACCAACTCACGATTCCTACGGTAAAAGCGGTCTAGAGTCGTCTACACATCGTTTGGAAATGTTAAGACTTGCTGTATTAACCTCAAACTGGGTGAAAGTATCAGACTGGGAATGTAGACAAGATAATTGGAGTCGAACTCGTCTGGTTCTTCAGCATCACCAGGTAAACATCAATTTGAAATTGTATTTCATAAAAAGTTGTTATGCTGTAATTGTTTTACAGAATACTCTGAATTCACTATTAAATTCAAACAATTTAAACAACATAAATGAAGATGATTTAAAGTGGATTCCTGAAAATATTAGAAAAGAATGCACTGGCCCTGTACAAGTTAAACTGTTATGTGGAGGAGATCTCCTGGAATCTTTTGCAGTTCCAAATCTTTGGCATGAAGAAGATGTAAGTTGTTTTAAGTATGAGAATTATTTTTACTATTTTATATTATAATTAGATTGCAGCAATTGTGGGCCAGCATGGCTTAGTTGTAATAACCAGGGAAAACAGTAATCCACTCAAATTCATTTATGAATCAGATTTGTTAACAAGATATATGGTAACATAATCTTTAATAAAATTTATTTAAGTAAGTAAGATTGCAATTATTTAATATTTTAGGCCAATATTATAATTGTGACAGAGTGGATAAGAAATGAAATTAGTTCCACTAGAATAAGAAGAGCTTTGAGAAGGTCTGAGTCTGTAAAATATTTAATTCCTGATATTGTGATCAATTACATTCATACTAATGGTTTGTACGGATCAAAAGCAGAGTAAGTTTTATTTTATGCTTTGTTGTATATAAACAAAAGAGAAATTTTGAAATGGGGAAAAATTACTAATAACACATTTAATTGTTCTAAATTAACGTTATTTCTTTTGCTGCACCTTTTGCTGGATAAAAAACAGGAAGTATATTGAGTTTCCACCATTACAACAGTCTACAATTTTTCTCACACCTTCACCCTCTGATGTTGTAATAGAATCTACAAGTCCAGTGAGTAATAGTTGTGCTGCTATTTGCGGTGCAGCACTCTTTAATCCTCAATCAATTAATAACAACAATAAAAATTTATCCATTGATACAGTGGATAATATTTTGAATAACAGTCTAAAAAGACCTGGTCAAGCAGTTAAAGTAATTACAGAGGAATCCGGTAAACATAAAGTGATAAGAAACAATATGGGAGAGGTATGTGATGTTAAAAAAAAGCAAATTTCAGCTTCTAAAAGTTGCACAGATTTTAATGTAAGCACAAAAGAACAAAATAAGGAACACTTACATGCCAGTGAGTCATACATGGACCTTAAGGCTTCCAAAAATTGCGATGAAAATTTGATAAAGTTCATTTTCACAAATCATGGTATTCAAGTCATAAGCGATTTCGAAACAATCGTTTAAAACAAAATTAAAATCGATATTTTATGTGCTTCCCTTTGCATATTCCTTTCTTATCTAATAAAGCTACTACTGAGAAAAAGAATGAAACAACTATTAAATTTAATTTGTAATGTAACGTTTTTATGCTTGAATAAGTGTAATTCTTTTGCTATTTCCGTTTTGTTTAATAAGAATTATGCATGTGAACCATATGTAGTTTCAAATTGTTTTGCATTTTAAACCCATGATCGGTTTCTCAAAGGCGCTGTTGATATGTATGCCCACAATAGATTAATTTCTGTCCATTATTATTTTATGTCATTATTAATTACAAAAAATGAGAGTTGAGGCTCATTAAAAATAGAGTAGGAATTGCTATTAGAAAAGCTGAGATTCAACTAAAATAAAAAAGAATGTAAATGTATATTCTTTGCACCACTATACTTTTTTTTAAGTCTTGTTGCATGTGAAATCTGATTTTTAGTCACTTTTACTATTATTATTGCATGTTATTCTCTTTTCAGGCATCTTTGAAACGTCCTGCATGTCTGTAGCTGTGATGTTGGTTTCTCTTTGCATAAAAGTGATGATGATACTTGTCTTAGCTGATGGGATGCTAAGTTAAAAAGTAGATGCAATTATCCAACAGTAGATAAATCGGATAGACTATAAAATACAGTAAATAACTTCTTTATTTATTATATTTCATTTCATCGGGACTTAAATTAGGTTTTTATGTTCCTTACAAATTAGTACTGCGTAGATGTATGTAGGTACATTTTTCAGTGAATGAGGTATGTCTGAAAAGTAACGACCTGGTGCTAGAAAATTCGTATACATAACTTCTTAAAGCATCAATAAATCGTTACTAATTACGCTAATCGTGATCAAAATTCAATTTTTTTTAAACACGTTTTTATTTTTTTTTTAGTAAATCTAATTTTGGCTAGTTTTTAAGTTTTTATTGATAAAATTCTATTTTTTTTATCCCGCGGGAACAGTACTTTTTTTTTAATTCTTTTCTGTACTCCTGAAAGTGTGTGTACAAAATTTCATGATAGGTTTAAGCCGTGGCTTTACTTGCATTGAGGTTTTAAATATGTATCAAAGATCATCGACGACCACATCAAACTAATCTTTTCTATCCCTCGCAAACAGTTTTCTTTGGATAAAAATTACCATGTATCCTTTTCTGTATCCCTGAAAATGTGTATTGAAAATTTCATGATAGGTTTTACCCGCGACTTCTCTCGCGTTAGTGTCCTAAATACGTGTCAAAGATCATCCACCCAACCCTTTCTTTCCCATTTATTTAACTGCTCTTAATTAATTTTTAAATCTTTTAGTACCTCTTCCCTTTTCCCTCCCATATCTATTTTGTCTTCCCATATTTAATATTCTGTTTCTCCTATATTCTTGTCTTATATTCCACTCTTGTAATTGCCCTATTTTCTCCTCATATTCAGTAGCCCTTTTAAATGTTTTTTCTAACATTTTACCACATTTTGTTTCCTTTCGGCAAAAAAAAGTTGTTTTTTGGTATTTGTTTAAATAATCGTGATTTAAACAATGGCCGACCGGGTTATCGGCTGGCAGCCTATCTATATCGGTCTTTCAAACAAAATTGCATATAAACAATTACTTCAAATAATTTTTCCCATTCACCAACCGGGTAATCAGTATGTCTCATGTTTGATTTGCTTATTTGAGTATTCATCACTTGCAGTTTTTGTACGTCATCCTTCAATAACCGACAGCTTGGTAAATTCTACATTTGACCCAATATATTGAGTCATTGCTTTCCAGACATACCTCATACAACTGCAGAACTATGTGATAACTCCAATGCGATTTTTAAATTATCATTTTTGATTTTAATATTA